TTATTATTATTATTATTATTATTATTATTATTATTAACATTTGTTGTATATAAGAAGAGGGGATTTTAGCAGGTGCGGCCTGCATCACATCCCTCTTCCACAGGTTTAGGAGCCCTGTCCTTTATTTCACCAGGCAACCCTATCTTCAACAGTTTCTTTTCTAAAATTATTTTCTTCTGGGAGATGGAGAAAGCCCAGGAGAGGCTGCAGGAGAGATGAGTTAAGGGCGATGCATGTCCTCTACCATGGTATAGTGGTTTGAATGTTGGACTACGACTCTGGTATAGTGGTTTGAAAGTTGGACTACGACTCTGGAGACCAGGGTTCAATTCCCAGCTCAGCCATGAAACCCACTGGGTGACCTTGGGCAGATCACATGTTCTCAGCTTCAGGGGAAAGCAGTAGCAACCTTCTTTGAACAAATCTTGCCCCAAAACTCCATGATAACTCCGCCTTAGAGTCATCATAAGTTGGAAATGACTTGAAGGTAAACAACAACAACAACAACATTGCCCTCTACCCAGCAGGAGCAGTGGCTGATAGAAGCAGTAGCAGAAAGAACAATAAAGACAAAAAAGCAGCAGCACCCAGTCACCTTGTGAGAAAATGGCAGGACAAGGAGGGGAGCAGTTGCAAGAGATGCCAGGGAATGGATCATCAGAATCCCTGGGTTACAGTCAGCCTACAGGCTTGAGGTTCTATATCCCTGAATTGATTAAATATATAAAACAATTTATATATGGAGTGAACTCAGTGGGTGGCCTCAGTCAAGCCACAATCTCATATCTGTATCTTTTGTATGGAAGATAATACTCACATAAATGGCCAAGATTGCTGCGATAATGTACGTAAAGTGCCTTGTGCAACCAAGAGAAACACTGCCTAAATGTAACAGCCAGTTGGTTCTTTTCTTTCCCTACGTGGTTACTCTGAAAGAACTCCAGCATAAGTAGAGATAAGTGAGACGTTCATTTTATTTTTTATAATAATTTAACAAAATCTGCACATTTACTCATAGTCCAAATGAGAGCATTTTGAGATGTTTTTAATCGGAAGAAAGAGAAAGTTTTAACTGTTCAGGCCCATGGCTTTTTTAGTGCGTAACTCTTAAAAGTCTTAATTTGAATCCTTGTGAAGTCAACCAAGTTAGTGCACAATTAAGGTTGTCATCTCTTTTCCCCCCTGAGAAGCTCTTCATTTCTAACATCTATACCACAGATAGGGACACCTATCCTTTGGATTTCTGAATGTGACCGGTATAAGTATGCAAGAACTTCATTTTGGTATGTCTTTGAAGAATTTGTCTTTTAAGAATTTTCCAAAAATGCAAATGTCTTCACATTTGAGATAACAAGGATGTGGAAGTTCCAACAAATTGAGTATGCAAGAAAATAAAATTGACAAATTTCTCAATCCTTGGTCATGGGATTGATCCTGAGGACAACAGTTATGGTGATATGTCTCTATCAGTCCCAATCACAGATCTGATAGCCCAGTACATCTGGGGTAAGGCAGTGTGCTTAGAATCCTGTGCCCAACATAATCTACCCACTGTTGTTCTACACCTTCAAGTAATTTCCAGCTAATGGCAACCCTAAGATGAACCTATCATGGGGTTTTCTAAGCAGGATTTGTTCCAAGGGGGTTTGCCTTTGCCTTCCTCTGTGGCTCAGAGAGTGTGACTTGCCCAGGGTCACCCAGTGGGATTCCATGCCTAAGCGGGAATTTGAACCCTGATCTTCTGAGCTGTAGTCCAACACTCAGACTACTACACCACTTTGGCAGTATGGCACATAAAAATCTGTACTGCACATAAAATATGTTATGTATAATATGGGGGAGGTGATAAATTGGCATAGGATATACCTTGCCATACTTTGAACAGAGATTTGTTGTTTTACCTCTTCTGTCGTTGCATCACAGACTACAGTACAAATGATCCTAAATCAGAATATCTTCTGAACATGGTTGCAGCCAGTGTCAGAGAACATCAGAGCTTGATTTGTAATTACTGCCTTGACAAAGGTGGTCCTTTAAAGCAGGAATGTTGACTGAAGGGACCTAGGTTTTCTGAAAGCTATAAAATGAAACAAGAGTTTCAATTCAAAACTGAATTAACTAGTGCTTTGGGAGCAGGTTTGTAGGCACTTGCAGCTGTGACATATGCCCAGAGGGACTTGTAGTCCTCTTACAGGAATTGTAGGTCAGGACTCGGCATGAGCCAGCTGTGGTTTTGCTTTTGGTGTCAATAAAGCTGGTTTAAAAGGGCATCCACTTCTCAGCTTGTGTATAGGAAAAGTTAAGCCACCTTGGCATATGTCACCCATTTACATAGACCAGGGGAACTGGTAGCAGGGCCTTTTGTGGATTTCACTAGGTCAAATCCTTGTTGACTCCTGTAACAAAATTATCCCAAGCCCCCATTCTGCTGTACTTGTGCCCCCCCCAAGAGGTTACATCCAAAAAGCAGAGAGGATTGTGGGTAATGAGATGCAAATTGCAACAGAGACAATAAGCCTGTATTGCAAGTGCTCATGATGGGGGCTAGCTTTTAAAAAGTCAGCCTGATTGCCTCTCTAGTAATTTGCATAGCATTAACCAGAGATATTTTCTTTTTAAACTTGAACTTTTTTTCTTCCAGAGGTCACCTCAAACTAATTACATGCCCAGTGCTGCTTCAAAAAAGAGGCTCCATGGATGTGATTACAGGGTTTGAAGTGCAACCAGGAGATTTCCCAGTACCGAGGAGGGAGGGGAAAAGGCCAGTATCCATATGAGCTCCGCTAGCTTTTAATACGTAAATTCAGGTACTTTAATTATAGGAGTCTCGCATGTGCTTTTGTTTATCTAGAGCTTTAGAATATGGAGCCTGTGTAGAGTGCAACAGCAACAAAATGCAAAGTTCAGGTTTCATTGAAAATAAACAAAAGAGTCCATCCAGTAATCATATATTTGCCTCATGCCAAATTCCATTTTCCAACTGGGAGCAATAATGTAGCCAGGTTGAAATGATCTCTCATACTCTGAGGTATGATCTTCCAACATCCTAACCATGCCACTGTTTTCTTCTTGTGATTAATTCCATCTTTATCTCAATTTTCTCCCAACCCCTTCTCCGGTGTTCTTCATGGAAATTTAAATTTTGCCCACATTGGTAATTAGTGTTGTAGAGGAGAATTTGTCCACAGCTGATTCTGGCTCAGTATTTCTCACTAAAGGATACCTATAAAGAAGTACCTGTGGGAAATGTTACAATGAAATTTAAATTCCACAAGTGGAAACCCAAGATTCCTTTCTGACTTGGGGCCAAAACACACTGCAGAAATAATCCATGTTGAGACCGTTTTAACTGCCCTGGCTCAGTACTATGGAATCCTGGGAACTGTAGCTTATTGTGGCACCAGAGTTCTCTGACATAGAAGTCTCAATGTCCCACAAAACTACAGTTCCCAAAGTTCCCTAGCATTGAGCCAGGGCAGTTATAGCAGCTTCAAACTGGATTATTTCTGCAGTGTGTTCTGAACCTTGGTCAGAAAGCCCTGATATTTCTAACCTAATATTTTCCAAACTGAGAGTTTTCCATAAGTATTCTTCCATGGGTTTTAAAAATATTAGAGGCTGGAGCAATGCAACTTCAGTCCATAGACCCTTAACACATTTTGGCCATGATACTTGTACAAACTATATATTTTTAAAAGTTTATGGAGTTATAAGAGGCTTTCAAATGGTATTTTAAAAGGCACAGCATGAGAATACTTTGTTAGCATTATTCAAATGTCATAAAGCTGCTGAGTTCCCCACAATGCTGCTTCACATGTGTGGCTGCCTAGGATATATTTGGGCAGAGGAGGATTCTATGAATTGCCCTTCTAGGAAATGTGCATTCGGATAGTGTCAGATACCAAATACATGGTCTTTGAGACACAGACCTAACCTCTTCCCTATGCTCAGTTTAACTTGTCTTCTCTAATGAGTCTGGGCCCCAAGTAGTGAGTTTGTGGTACTGCCATTGGGCACTCAGTCTCTCCCAACACCTGAGGCAGGTGTTTCCCCTTGGCATCATTGACATGCCACCTTCCCAATCCATGTTCCTCACTTCCTCTCTCTTTCTCTCTTTTCTTCTCCTCTTCCATTCCTCCATCCAAAACCTTCCTTCCTTTCCTACTCACCATGCAGTAGGAGATGTGAGGGATATATAGGAGGAGATAGATACTACTGTTTGTGTGAGAATATGGGACCTTCAAGAACTTAAAATCATAGGCAGTATCAGTGATGTTGGCATTCTTATTTATCAGATGTCAGAGTTTCTCCATTTGTGGAAGTGGTGGTAGAAAAATAGTATGAAATCTTCTTCCACCAAGATTGGTTTATAAAAGTTGGCTGTACAATTTGATGACCATTAACAATGTCTACACTTATGTAGGCATTGTGTGGATATGAATAATCAGATCTCATGCTTGAATGCAGAAACATTGTTTCCTTTAGCTGGAACAGATTCTGGTATGCATGGCTCTGCACTATTGTTAGGTATATTGTCATTATAATGGTTTTATTATTTTCATATCCTTTCTCTGGAACATCAGCTACCATATTAGCCACTGGAGCTAGAGGCGATATATAGCCTGAGATGAGTCAACTGTGTGATCTAAATTGACTGGAAGCAAGATATTTGACTAGGTAGACAGGCAGTGAAAGAATTTGCTGGGCAGTTCTGGAATCCCTGTGATAAGGAACTAATGAGCTCTTTCCAAAAGGAGGTTGCAGCTGAAATGACAAGGCTGAGTTACAGGGAAGATATGTCATCTCAAAGGAAGGCTTAGACATGGGGGAAGCATTATGAATGTCATCCCACCACACAGCAAGCAGTTTAAGAAAGAGGTCTGTAGCACGTCCAAATTATTCAGCCACATTGACTTACTAGGTCACTGTGACATTTGTCAGCACAGGTCTCTGTTGTGATCTTTCCCTCTTAGAGGAGATTAAAATGGTGAAAAACACAGGGAGCGTGGGTGGGTGTGTTTCTTTCTGTTCCTTCCTTCTTTTATTTCCTTTTCTTTTTTCTTTTCTAAAGACTGAATATAATCAGAGCTAATCAGAAAATTATGAGCTGCCTGATTGCTGATTAGATTCCTAATGTTAATATAGTCAAGAAGCCTCTTTTTGTGGGTTTTGATTTTACAGAAGTATAAAAGTAATGTCTCAGAAGGTGAAAGAGGAAAACTAGGGTAGTAGGAGGGATACATGTTGTCTTGGTGGGGAGAAAGAACAGAGAGAGAGGGAGGTGCCAAACATCTTTAATCTAGGGCTGGTATTTACATGTTAAGGATGGCATTTATATATGGCC